GGCATTGCCGCTCGTGCCTGTGTACACCACGGCGCCTGTGTGCACAACAGCAACCGTGTGCTACGCAGTACCCTTGTTGTTCGTATGGAAAATGATCCTTATGGACATCGGAGCGACGCTGTAATCTACGAGTCCTCCCCAGTCCGCCCGCATCACCCTAACTCCTTCCATCTGCGTCCAGGAGGCTCCAGCTAGATTGGCCGTCCAAGTTTACCGATTCAACTGACCATTCTGCGGTGCGCGCTGAGATGCGGACGTGCGCTGTAGCGCCAACCCGCACGACAGGGAGTAAGGAGGAGGTGGGGGAGGACGTAGGAGGCGCTGTAGGAGGGAGAGGAGCATGACTCGAGTGGAACCCGCTTCGGCATGCAAGCCGCGTGCGATGAACACCTCCGCAAATTAGGGCACTGACCGCGGCCGCCTCGCCTTCAGGACGGTTTGGCTCAAGACTCCGGGCTGCAGACCAGCCGCAATATGATCGATGTACTCTCCGCGGGCCTTTCAGGAGAGGCGGAGGCGGAGGCGGAGGAGGAGACGACGTACCTATTGAGGTTTGTCTGTGCAATTCGGGCTCCCGCAGGGTGGCGCTGGGGTCCCTTTCAAGATGAGACGCCTTTTTCCACTTGTGCCACCTGCGGAGCCCGCAACAGCAGGAGAGGGAGAAGGAGGAGGAGGACTTTCTTTACCTCCTGGCATATTGCATGCGTTGACTTACGCCTGTCGCAGTGTCGACTTCCCCTTACTCCGCACCTGTTTGCGTTTCCCTTGTCAGCCTTTGGCGACCCTGCCCATTGCCAGCGCAGAAATCTACTCGTGGGGGACGGTTGGTGGCGGAGGTTAGGATGGCATGGGGTGGAGGTCGGCTCTCGAGGAAGGACGGTCCTCGTCCCAGCAACCTTGCTAAGGTCGGGCAGAGCCGACCCTCTGGCAGCACTCGGTCTTGCAGCCTCTTTGCAGTTCTCACCTACCTCCCCTCGCGTTTGACTGACGGCTTGCGCAGTCTCGACCTCCCCATATTCCACATCCGGTTGCGTTTACCTGTCAGCTTTTATCTAATTACTCTGCCAATTGCCCGCGCAGTAAATCAACTACTGTCGGGGACGGTTGGAGGAGGTGGTTTATCGAGGGGGCTGGGCGGGTGGGGTACAGGATACACAAGCCAGCCTTTTAAGTGCCAGCCTCACACGCTACTATCACTGCCCAGTCGTATTCTCTCAACACTCTGTCGCCTGCTAGCTGTGCCGTACATGGAGGGGGATACTTCGACCCTTCTACTTGCGGGAGGTGGCGGGAAGGCACATTCTCGCCAGACCACCTGCCGTTTTGCTGGTTTCCCACATTCGGCACCTCCCTTCACACGATAAAACAAAAAAAAGATGCGCCAAGACTGCCACACGACGCGCCCAAAATGTTTCCAAGAGGCACCCAAGAGACCCCCAAGAAGCGTCAAGAGGATCCCCGAGGCACCCAAGATGCTCAACGATTGCCATGGGCCCGCCAAGATGGCCCCAAGACGCTCCGAGAGGCCTCCACTGGGGAGTTCTTCTGCGTGCTGCCAACTTCTCTGGTCGAGACAACTCATCTGGCCATAGTTTCTGGATGGGCTGGCGGAGTTACGCGAATCGTGTAGAATTTCTGGTTCGATGCGTCTGGTGTGCGGAATTCATGGTAAGAGTTGTTTGGTGTGCGGAATTATTGGTAAGCGTGTTTTGGTCAGGAGCCCTTCCGGCATCCATAACAGGAGCGATTCCGTGACCAAAACATCAGACCAAGAAATACCAAAAATAATCGCTCGAGACATCCCCGATAATTCTCCAAATAGGCTTGTCCTATAGGAGTCCTAGCTCAAACCCTACTAGTTGGTCCGTTGACCCCCCCCCACTTCCTATGCCCCCCCCTGATTCCTACGCCTATGCCTATGCCTATGCCTATGCCTCCCCCCAACTCCTCTGCCTATGCCTGCTTGCTTGCGCGCTTGCACGCTTGCTTGCTTGCTTGCTTGCTTGCTTGCTTGCTTGCTTGCTTGCTGAGTTGCGAATTACAAGCATGTTTGATTATTCAGATTATTTGACTTGAGTCGTCTAATCTTTTTGGGGTCAACGCTGGCTGATTTGTTTGCTCACCCGACCAAACATATCCCTTGGCATGGCAATTCTGTTATGGATAACAGAACCCATAAAAAAAAACAACAAAACTGCATTCCAAGAAATCCCCAATAATTCCAGCCGTCAGACTGGTGGCACCAAGAAATCCGGAGGTGGTCGAGGGGCGAGGGAGGGGGGGTGCTGGCCGCAGGGAGGTGCTGAGGGGCTCGGGGAGGCGAGCGACGGGTAAGGTATGAGACGATGGGCACCGCCGGCCTCCAGACTCGCCGATGCGGCGACCAGCTCGGACGACGCCTGGGAGCTGGGCACGGGGGACTCATCCTGCGCCCCACCCACAGTGGCCAGGGTGGGCTCGGGCATGCGTTTGCGGTACCTCGCTGGCAGGCTGCGAGTCTGGGCGATGGTCATCAGCGTGGCCGCGGGAGGGGAGTCGACCGTTTTCGCAGCAGGCGGCGTCGGTGCAGAAGGCGCGGCATCAACCACACTATCATCCAGCAGGTCGCCCAGTGCGAGCTCCAAGTCCATGCCATCTGCGGCAGTGCTGGCGGGTGCCGGCACGCCGTCGGCGTCGGCGGGATTGGCGTGTCAATTCTGCGCTGCTCGGCGGGGCTCTCGGCCGCATCTCAGGCGGCCGATCCCTGCCCTGGCGGGGCAGCCAGGGGAGCGCCAACAGACTCAGCGGGGCGCTCGGCCGCACCCGAGGCGGCCGCGTCCAGCTCGGGCGGCGCCGCCAGGGGGGCGCAGTCAGGTACGACCGCAGCGGCGGGCGCAGAGTGCTGATCCAGCGCGATGGCCTGGGCAGCATCCGCTGGCTCAGCCCCGGCAGTCAGCGCCGTGGAGTCACCAGGCGCGGCAGGCGGGGCGCCCGCCGGACACAATTAATCGTCGATTCCCCAGAAAATATGGGAAGTGGGGGTGAAGACAGAAACTTTGAAAATATGGAGAAATATGGGGCAACCTCTTATTTGTGTCAATTGATGTGTGTGTCCCAGGGCCCCTTCACAAGCGTCGGCTCCTCATGGGGTGCGACTGGAGCTGTCTCATGGGTGGCACATGGCGAAGCTGCAGCAGAGCCCCCCTGGCGCGGGAGACGCGGGCTCGCGCGCGGGGCGCCCGCGGGCCCGTGCAGGCCGCGCGGCCTTGTAGGGAGCGGGGGGGGGGGCGCACTCGGGGCCGCCGTCTCAGAAGACGCAGCCGATGCACGCTGGTAGCTTCCGCATCCCAGCGGCGGTTTGCCTTGGCCGGCTTGGCCGACCCAGGCGCAGCGACGGGTTGCTTCCATGGGGTGTAGTCTGTCGTTGTATTTGTTGATATTGTTTGGTATGTGTGGGTATTCTGTGTATTAGTGGAAGCGGTTTGTTGTTGTTGGTTTGGAAGCGCATTCTTGTTGTTTTAAGTCGAGGCCGCCCTTTGAGGCGACGGGGTCGCTCAACAGATGGTGATCCTTGCGGTAAGTTCTATCAACTTGGACTGCGCTAGAACCCAAGCGCGCGAAGTTTGTGAATATATACACTCAAATTTGCATCTATATGTTATAAGAAGGACGTCGGACCGGCGCCGTCTAAGAAGCAGCCTCCTTCTAAGAGGTCTCCCCCCTCCCCCTACCCCGTTTGTGCGTGCCGCCAAATCGAATGCTCGTGTCGGGGCGCAGGTAGCTGGGGTCTGCGCCAACGGGGGTCAGCCAGGTGCCCTGCCTGGCCTGGGGTGGTCGGAAGCCTGCAGTGGAGCCAGCCTTCCGCCTGCAGCCTTCTTGGGCCCTGGGCTCGGGAGCTGCGGTCGGACGCCGGCCTGGCCTCGCGGCGTGGCCCTGGCTGGCATGGGTTACAGTCGAAACCGATGGTACGGACGGGTCACCTTCCCAAGGGTGCCCTTTGCATTTGAGTCTCTCTTGTCGGAAACTGGAACATCTACATTACCAGAGGCGGATTGTTTTTTTCAATCCCTGGACTTTTTGGGAGTCGGGGACGACGTCGGGGTGGTGTGGTGTATACTTTTTATCCGTTTCCCGGCGAGACAACGAAACATGTATACACCAGGATCCCGTATATACCAGGATCCGCTTTCTTTTGCAAGTGTCCGAGCAGGGCCGGAAAAAGCGTCGGTGTATAGAGTGTGCTTCCTTATCTTGCCCATCTTCGACTACCCTCGATGGTCCGCAGCGCTCGAGTGAGCTTCGGCACGGGCGTCCAAGGAGCTTGAAACCTTGTCGCGCATCCTCGCTATCAAGTTTTGACTGTCGTGACCTGGGTCAGCGCGTCCCCGCGTCGTCGAGGAACGACGGCGGGACGAAGTCTAGATGTAGCGCCAGCGCCTTCTAAGAAGTGGCCTCCTTTGAGATGCCTTCCCCCCTCCCGCTGGCCCCGTCTGCGCGCCGCCATTCCTCGGCTACTCTCCCAAAGCGACGCCAACGACGACGGCGGCGACGACGACGGCGGCGGTGGCGACGGGCGTCGGTGTGCCGCGCCGTGCCTCGCGGACCCCGTAGGACTTGCACACGCAGGCCGTTGCCCTTCTTCGGCTACTCCCCCCTCTCGTCCGCCCCGAAATGCCAGGGCTCATTCCGGTTCCCCGGACTCGATTCGATTCGATTTCGAGGGTTTCGATTCCGATTCGATTCGATTGCGAATTCCGATGTGGGTTTCGACTTGTCAATGGAGGCCTACTAGTCTGCCGAGATCCGCCGTCTCGAGTTCCCTGGACACGGCTGCCGATATCCGCCGCTTTGATGAATTTCGATCGCCGATCCGACATCGGTTCGATTCTGTGTTCGCCTGAATGCAGAAGAGGGTGTTGGGACCAAAGTCAAATTGCCGGGGTGCTCATGTAGCCGATGGCTTGCAGTTGAGCTGCTCCGCCAAGCCTTCGCTGCACTTCTTTTTTCGATTTCCCCGAGAGGCGGCTGTGGCGCCCGCGCTCTCGGAGGACGACTGGCCTGTGCTGCCCACGAAGCCCGAGGTTGCGGCGCAGATGAAGAGCGGCTGCTGGTTCGACGGTGGGTCTGCAGCGAAGCGCTTCATTCAGCAGCTGCGGGCCAATGACCCATCGCTGGTCTCGGTCTGCCTGGTGCCGCCCAAGCGCTTCGATGATGAGGACGCGAGGGAGATCTGCGACGCGCTGAATGGCAACACGTGCTGCCGTGAATTCGTGGCGAGCGGCCACAGTCTCAGCGAGGAGACTTGCCAGCGGCTGGCTGGGATGCTGAGGGCCACTGGGGCCATCCAGACCTTCTCGGTGGGTGACTCGTCGTTGGGCGACCGCGCACGCTGCCTCTTCGAGGCCCTGGCCGAGAACTCCTCTGTAACCTCGCTGGACCTCGAGCACAAGGCCGGGGCATCACGAACCAGGGCAGCCGCGCCACCGCCTCGCGTCTGTGCGCTTCGCGGCGCCGGGCAGTTCTGCCGGCCTGGGGCATGTCGGCTTGTACGGGGATCGGGCGGGCCGGATACAGTCCGCATTTTTGGGATTCTGTCTGTTCTGGTTTCGGAAGGGGCTCGATGCTCCTGAGGCCATTCCATGGGCCCTCCTATTCCGTTCCTCGTGCACCTGGGCGCAGCTGATGCCCAAAGGAGGCTTCGTTCCCTGTCCGCAGTTCCTGATGGCAAGGCTTTGACTGCGTGATGGCGAAAATTCTCTGGAGGCGCAAACGACATGATGCCACGCATGTCCGCGGGGGGCCCTGGGCTGCAGGCCTTGGGCAACGATGCGCGCTTGAGAGGCGTGCACAAGAGGGCGCGCCTACTGAAGCATCGGCTGATTCCCACCGTCGTGACCCCGGCCCGTCTGTGACTACCTGAGCCTGACCTCCTTGCCCACATATCAGACGGAATAAGGCCCTTGAGCGACGGAGGGGGTGTTGCGGTCAGCGTTCTCCAGGCATGCGACGTAGTGTTGGATTGTTTTTGTCGCGAGGTGGCTCCCGTGAGGTTTTTTTACCTTGTCTGGGAGGCCGGCCTCTCATCCCGAGAGTACTTATTGTTGGCTTGACGTCGAGGACACGTAAGGCTCGATCTTGCCGCAGATTGGGTTTGCCGACTCCCTTTGGCGGTCCCAGCGCGGATTTCGACGGTCCGGTTCTTGACGGCGAGCGAGGGGGGAAGCGAGAAGGAGTAGGCCTTCTCAGAAGGCGGCGGGACTTCTCAGAAGCCTTCGCGCCTTCTGAGAAGTTGTTTTGTGCCTTCTCGGAAGGCTCAGAAAATTCTCCGGGCGAAGGACCCAACCATATTCAGTTGTGAGTAACGCATTGTGGGTGCCGTTGTCGGTGGAGCACGACACGCGTGAGGGGCGCGCCATAATGGGTGTGGCGGACGCGTGCGGGCACCCCCACTGGGACCTTCGGTGGAGCCCCTATGGGGCCACGAAACGCTGTGCTGGGTGTGGCGGACGCATGCGGGCACCCCACTGGGACCTTCGGTGGAGCTCCCTATGGGGCCACGAAGCGCTGTGCTGGGTGTGGCGGACGCATGCGGGCACCCCCACTGGGGCCTTCGGTGGAGCTCCCCTATGGGGACACGAAGCGCCGTGCTGGGTGTGGCGGACGCATGCGGGCACCCCCACTGGGACATTCGGTGGAGCTCTCTATGGGGCCACGAAGCGCTGTGCTAGGTGTGGCGGACGCATGCGGGCACCCCCAATGGGGCCCTCGGTGGAGCTCCCCATGGGGCCACGAAACGCTGTGCTCGGTGTGGCGGACGCATGCGGGCACCCCCACTGGGGCTTTCGGTGGAGCTCCCTATGGGGCAACGAAACGCTGTGCTGGGTGTGGCGGACGCATGCGGGCACCCCCACTGGGGCCTTCGGTGGAGCTCCCTATGGAGCCACGAAGCGCTGTGCTGGGTGTGGCGGACGCATGCGGGCCCCCCCTGGGGCCCTCGGTGGAGCTCCCCATGGGGCCATGAAGCGCTGTGCTGGGTGTGGCGGACGCATGCGGGCACCCCCACTGGGGCTTTCGGTGGAGCTCCCCATGGGGCCACGAAACGCTGTGCTGGGTGTGGCGGACGCATGCGGGCACCCCCACTGTGGCTTTCAGTGGAGCTCCCTATGGGGCCACGAAACGCTGTGCTGGGTGTGGCGGACGCATGCGGGCACCCCCACTGGGGCCTTTGGTGGAGCTCCCTATGGAGCCACGAAGCGCTGTGCTGGGCGTGGCGGACGCATGCGGGCACCCCCACTGGGGCCTTCGGTGGAGCTCCCTATGGGGCCACGAAGCGCTGTGCTGGGTGTGGCCGACGCATGCGGGCACCCCCACTGGGGTTTTCGGTGGAGCTCCCTATGGGGCCACGAAGCGTTGTGCTGGGTGTGGCGGACGCATGCGGGCACCCCCACTGGGGCCTTCGGTGGAGCTCCCCATGGGGCCACGAAGCGCTGTGCTGGGTGTGGCGGACGCATGCGGGCACCCCCACTGGGGCCTTCGGTGGAGCTCCCTATGGGGCCACGGAACGCCGTGCTCGGTGTGGCGGACGCATGCGGGCACCTCCACTGGGGCCTTCGGTGGAGCTCACCATGGGGCCACGAAGCGTGTGCAGGGTGTACTGACAGGGGTGATGATGACGATCATGACGGTGATGGCGATGATGAATGTGAGGATGGTGATGATGACGTCGATGGTGATGATGATGGTGATGATGCTGCTGCTGATGATGATGATGATTATGATGATGATGATGATGATGATGATGATGATGATGATGATGATGATGATGATGCTGCTGCTGATGCTGATGCTGATGCTGATGCTGATGCTGATGATGATGATGATGATGCTGATGATGATGATGATGATGATGATGATGATGATGATGATGATGATGATGATGATGATGATGATGATGATGATGATGATGATGATGGGGAGGAGGGGCGAGGAGGAGGAGGAGTGAACGCGGGGCGCTGTCTCTTCAAAACGAGGACCCAACACCACACGATGGTTGGGAACTTCTCGGAAGGCTGTGGGACTTCCGAGCCTTCTGAGAAGGCCCGCCCCTTCTCATTTCCCCCCTGGGCTCACCACCGATCTTGTGAGATGTCTGCAGTGGGATCTCAGGCCCCACTGCGTAGCAGGCCCCGTTATTTCTCTGACCGCCCAGCCGGGCGAATTCGAGCCCGCCGACGCCGAGTCTCACGGCTCCCCGATCAGATAATGTAAGGGCCCCCGAGGGAGAAATCGCATTCGTGCCTTTCCCGAGCGCCGTGTCGCTAGGGGGCCTAATATTAAGTCGGGCATGTACTTCTACGAAAGTATCCAAAATTGTTGCTATATAGTCTGGGGACGATTTTTCATCATTCTGGAATCGGTTTCAGCATCATTTTTTTTTCGTCCAGAATCCGCCTGTAGGAGGACATGCCCGACCTAATAGTAGTAAGAAGTGCCGCGGAAGAGTTCCGCAGGGGGGGACGGGGAGCACCAGAACTCGCCCAGTCTGGCAGCCGTTTCGCCGCGGACCGCCTCGCAATTGTCGGGGGCATCGTGCTCTCGCCTCAATGCTAGCTGCATCGCTGGCCTGGACGGCCAGGCGTCCAAAAGCTAGCTGATCATGAAGATGGATGTCTGCGCCCACGCTGGTCCTCCTCCAGTCCTCTTCCCCAGGGGGGGGGGTCCCAGGGGGAAGTCTGTTTCCTCCTCCTGCTGCTGCCCAGTTGCGCCTGTGGTGTGCGAAGCGAAGTTGATTCAGTAACTGCTTACGCGTGTAGAATTCCTCTCCAGAGTCGGGTTCACGACGTATGCAAAAAACAGGCGTTGACCCTAAGGTTGCCTAACAGGACTACCTTCCCTGAGGGGAATATGGGGGTTCCCCCAGCTCTCGGGCCTGGATGATCCAGGTGGCGGAACCGCAACTGTGAACGCCCGCCCTCTAATCTTGGTGACATCGATGGCCCGGAAGTCCGCGCACGCATCTGCATCGAAGAAAACGCGGACGTCTGCCGCGAAATTCTCGAGGCACCCCTCATCCAAGAGACGTTCAGCCAATTCAAGATCTGTCACACCTGCCTACCCGAAGAATAGGCCTCACTTCGTGAACTGCCCTTTCCTGGTGGGGGCCTGTCCGAGTCGATCTTCAGGGTGCCTAACAACCAGATGAGAGCCTGTGAAGAGCCCCTCGGGGTCCTTGGCCAACCCCTTCTACGGACGAAGGCGATGGATGTGCATCTCCTCCCTCGCCCCTATTCTCTCCCAGTGATTGAAAATACCCTGTGTGCTCGTGCTGTGCACGTGCCCCCCTCACTTGCCGTGCCCCTCCCTCTCATGACGATATTAGCCAGGCCAGCCAGGCAGGAGTCCAGGAGTTCAGATTCCTTTTGGGTTAAAACGAAGGGATCCAGGCAGGAGAGGCGGGTCTTCTGTGCGAAGCCGATGGACACGGCGCGTTTGTACCGTCTGAGCGACGGCAGAGACCACACCCTTCCCAACGAGAACAACGTTCGCCAAGCTGCTGCGCACCTGCGTTCAACCTTGTTGCGACCAGTGCCACGGAGCGTGAGGTAGGGCCCCAGATGTCTCGCGTCCTCCGAGGGGCGGCCAGGCAGCCCAAACGAACTGGCCATCTTCAGCGAAAGAAAACATGAACTCCTGTTTACCCATGTTCTGTGAAAGGCCACACTCCCCGAGGGCGACGTTCAACTCCTGACCGATGCTCGTAAGCTTTTGAAGGGAACCCGTTAAAGAAACACCACCCTCAGCCAGGCAGATGTTGTTCAAGTCGTCCGTTCATGTAAGGAGGGAGAGGCTTAGCACGGAGCCCCCCCCCCAAGTCACCTCTCGAAGGGCGGTCGCCATCGGTGGGGAGGAGGGAGGGTGGGTGGGATGGAGGTCGGGAGGGAGGCTGGGAGGGAGAGAGAAGGCTAGGAGGGAGGGAGGGAGGGAGGCGGAGGACCCCGCGGCTCGTTGGGCTCCCGCGAAGGGGCTCGTGGGCGACTCCTTGGAGTCTCTGGCGGCTGCGCTGGCGGCGCGCGCCGGGCGCGGGGCTCCGCCGCTCGCCGCGCTGCGGCTGTCCCAGAACCCTGGGCTGTCTGTGGCGGGCCGTGGGCAGGGGGGGGGCCTCGCCTGCAGAGGGGGGAAAGAGATGCCGGTACCGCTACGCTGCCCGCGTGTCCCCCTTTTTGGGCCTCGTCGCCACCGCTGGATTCGCCTCGGAATTCTGGGCAGAACGCACCCCAGCAGAGGTCAGGAGAGGTCCGGGCTTCCGCAGGGGGCCTGCAAGGCGCGGGCTGCCTTGTAGGAAGTCTGCTGGAGCCTGCACCACAGAGATTGACCGTTTTGCTGCTGCCTCCAACTGCTGCTCCTTGACTTCGCTTTCTGCTGCTGCTGCCGCTGATCCTCATTATGCCAGGTTCGGGGAAACGTAGGACTCGAGTTCGCCAGAACTCGGTCTCGCCGGCGCTCTCTGACGAGCCCTTCTGGGATTTTGACCCTCCAGTTTTCGTGGGGTGCCTGCAGCGGGGGCTCGCGTCACATTTGACAGTGGGTCTCGTCATTTTCCTGACGGCCCCGTCAGGCCAATCCGAGTTCCCCGACAGGTCACCCGCGGGGGCGACGAGGATCGCGCGTCGCGCATCGCGGCCCGAGCCGCCCGGGTTGCCCTTCTCCAGCCTTCGGCGGCCCGCGGGCGCGAAGAGAACTGCGCCCCGCTCCTCGCTGGTCAGGGGGGGAAAAAACACACAGACACAATTAATCGTCGATTCCAGAGAAAATATGGGAGACTATGGGAAGTGGGGGGGGGAGACAAAAACCCAGAACATATAGGGAAATATAGGGAATCCTGTTATTTGTGTGTATTTATTTGTGTGTCCCAGGGCCCCTTCAGCTGGGCGCGATGTGCGCGATGTCAGGCGACCTAGGTTCTCAGAGGAGGGGAATCCGAGGCGGGAATTTATCCATAGCCACCGCCTGGGGGGTCGATCCTCGCGGACCTCCACAGGCGGTGGACATGAACATCTGCGGGCCCTGGGGGGGCGGGCCAACAGGTATGCATATATCCGCCGGGGCACCAGGACGCCGGTTCCCAGGCGGTGGATCTGGATCAGTCCCCGCCTCGCAGGAAAAGTACCGATACCGCTACCCTTGCCTCGTTTGGTCGTCGCGTGATGGTTGGGTCATAAATGAAGGGGTGGCGAGGGTGGTCCGAAGAGGTACCCGAACGGTGCCTAAACGAGCCACTTGGGGCTCCAGAAGGGCCCGAAAGGGGCACGAGAGGGGACCGTTTCTGACCCCCCCTTTTGTGACCCCCCATGGAGCCACGCCCAATTCGTTCTCGCTGGGCCCGATTCTTCCGGGCCGCCCACGGGGGCGGAGAGGATCGCGCCTCGCGCCTCGCGGCCCGAGCCGCCGGGGTGCCTTCCTCCGCGCGGTCTGCGGCCCGGCGGCGCGCAGGGAGGAGGCGCGCCGCGCCTCGCTGGGCGCGATGTGCGCGAAGTCAGGTGACCTGGATTCTCCCGTGATGGGCCTATTTTCCACCACCACCTCCATAAGTTGTAGGGGGAGGGGGTCCTCCTCCTTCTCCTCCTCCTCCTCCTCCTCCTCCTCCACCTCCTTCCCCCCTCCAACCTATGGTGGTTGTAGTGGACAACAGGCTCATCATCCTGCTCACTATCCCCGCTGTCCTTCGACGAAGAAGAGAACGGCGTAAACATAGACTTTAGACGGTCCGCGCGGATTTCGAAGATCCGCGCTGGGCCCCCCTGGCGACGCCTCCGGCGCCGCCCCTGGCGCGCTCCGCGCGCCAGAGAGGGGTGGGGACAGCTCAGACCCAAGAGATCCGCGCTGGCATTTGACGATCTATGATTATGCAGAAATTATGCAGTGCTTCCTTCCTCTGGCCCTTCCTCTTCTCCCAAGCCCTCCCCGCACGTCCTCGTCCCTGCCACGGCTCTCCACGCAGCCACTTCGGCTCGGACACGGGCTTGCGCCCTGAACCAGGCCACGGGTTGCGCGAGAGGCGGCATTCCCAGAGATCCGATATCTTGATTCGTCTTGGCATTTCATCTCGGGTGTTTTTCGCAACCATCCTGTGGTGTTGGGTCCTCGTTTTGAAGAGACGTTGCCCCGCGTCTCTCCTTCCTTCCTTCCTTCCTTCCTTCCTTCCTCCTCCCCCTCCTCCCTCCTCCTCCCTCCTCCCTCCTCCCCCTCCTCCCTCCTCCCCCTCCTTGCCTTTGCTCTCGGCACACCTTTCATACGTTTCGTAGCCCCATGGGGAGCTCCACCGAAGGTCCCAGTGGGGGTGTTCGCATGCGGTTCCCCCACCCAGGGCAGCGGTTCGTGGCCCCATGGGGAGCTCCACCGAAGGCTCCAGTGGGGTGTTCGCATGCGGTTCCCCCACCCAGGGCAGCGTTTCGTGGCCCCCTGGGGAGCTCCACCGAAGGGCCCAGTGGGGGTGTTCGCATGCGGTTCCCCCTACCCAGGGCAGCGCTTCGTGGCCCCATAGGGAGCTCCACCGAAGGCCCCAGTGGGGGTGTTCGCATGCGATTCCCCCACCCAGGGCAGCGCTTCGTGGCCCCATAGGGAGTTCCACCGAAGGCCCCACTGGGGGTGTTCGCATGCGGTTCCCCCACACAGGGCAGCGTTTCGTGGCCCCATGGGGAGCTCCACCGAAGGCCCCAGTGAGGTGTTCGCATGCGGTTCCCCCACCCAGGGCAGCGTTTCGTGGCCCCATAGGGAGCTCCACCGAAGGCCCCAGTGGGGTTGTTCGCATGCGGTTCCCCCACCCAGGGCAGCGCTTCGTGGCCCCATGGGCAGCTCCACCGAAGGCCCCACCGTGGCTGCTCTCGCATGCGGTTCCCCCACCCAGGGCAGCGTTTCGTGGCCCCATGGGGAGCTCCACCGAAGGCCCCAGTGGGGGTGTTCGCATGCGGTTCCCCCCACCCAGGGCAGCGTTTCGTAGCCCTTTGGGGAGCTCCACCGAAGGCCCCAATGGCGCAGTTCGCATGCGGTTCCCCCGCCAAGGGCAGCGTTTTGTGGCCCCCTACGGAGCTCCACCGAAGGCCCGCCCCAGTGGCGCAGTTCGCATGCGGTTCCCCCACCCAAGGCAGCGCTTCGTGGCCCCATAGGGAGCCCAACCGAAGGCGGTACCCACAACGCGTTACGAACAATTGTTTATGGTTGGGTCCTTCGCCAGGATAATTTTGACGGCCCCTGAGGGCCTGTTCAGGGCCCCCACAGGCAGAACATTATCAGACATTTCCGTGCAATGTTTCAACATGCTGGGGATCCAGGCCTCTGGCGGCCGTTCGGGACGACTCGGGCACCCCCTTGGAACGCTCTCGGCGAGGCGCAGCTGCTCGCAGGCATCCTGGGGCGAGGAACTAACAACCAACGAAGACCTCAGAGAGGACAAACGGTCGGCAATTTTGGCTTACCGTGTTGCTTCGCCGGTTCTGGTGTCCTCCACGCGTCGACGCAACCCGCTATCCGCGTCCGCGTCCCCAAGCGTCAACTTCCCGAGACTTTCCCCGCTCGCAGGGCCTAAGGCATAGCTTGTCGCCAGGGCCGCTGTCGCGACACGCTAAGCAAAAGTCGACTACGCGTAAGAGTGACACTTCGTCGGAGTGAGCTTTGGTGCCAGCCCACAAGGGCCCCCACCAGCACGGGCTTGTGCGCTTGAAGTTGGCCACCCTGCGGCATCCGAGTGCCGCGCACCACAGTCTGGGGTCACCTCTTGCGCTTGGCCGACACGCAGAAGCTCCCGACCGACCGTGCGTCGGAGGCGGGTGGGGCGCTCCGCGCGGGCCTCGGCCGTGCCCGCCGGCCCCGGGGGCGCCGGAGACGGGGGCACGGGGAGCGCCGATCTCCCCGCCTGGCCACGCCCCCGTTCAGGAGGCCTTGGGCGCCGCAGACGGGGCACAGCAAACGGAGGCAGATGTCGCCGCGCCGCTTGTTCCGCCGTGCAGCTGCACGTCTTGCGTAGGGCGCAGCGGCCACCAGGGCGACCGCCGCCTCGGACGCTGTGGGCTTGCCGTGGGGTTTGCCGCGGCGCCGGCCGCGTCTGCTTGGGCGCGGGACGTAGGGCCTGCCATGGCTTTGCCGTGGTGTCGGCGTCCTCCCTTTGGGCGCGTTCAGAGCAGACGGCGCGGCGACAGATGGAAAAGCTTACAGTCAAAGCGCTGTGATAAGGAACAGTTTGGGTTGGGAAAGGGCTCAATCCCCCTCAGGTCCCTGCATTGCTGTTCCTCTTGCCCTCCTCGGGCACGGAGGCGCTTTCAGGTTTCTTCAGGCTCAACGCAAGAGCTCCCTCCCATCTTCGGCGTTCCTTGTTTCAGCGGTCCGACTGCAAGCGCCCGTTGAGCCATGCCCCCCTTCACGGGGCCCCGCCCGCAGCGCCGCGGGCCAGGGCGAACCGCGCATGCCGGCCCCCGCGCGCGCGGGGCGCTCCTCCGCGGCCCCGCGGGAGCTGCTGGCGGCGGCCGAGGCGCGGGCCGCGGCGCTGCGCGGGCGCATCGGGCCGGCGCGGGCCGCCGTGGAGATCGGCTGCACGCACAGGGTGACCTTTCGCAGGAGTGACTTCTGGTGTGGGCACTGAGGGGAGGAGAAGAGACCCATACTGCTGCACGCCACCCTCGCCCCGTTCTCGCCTTTCTGGGGCCTCCGGGGAGACCACCGCTGGATTCGCCTCGGCATGTTTCTTTTGAACGCGGAGGGAAAGGCACCGATACCGCTATCCGTCCCTTTGGCGGCCTCCTGGGAGGCTCTCGTCGCCTCCGCTGTATTCGCTTAGGAATTCTGGTCAGAACGCACCCTGGGCGAGGTCCGGGGAGTAGCGGTATCGGTGCCCATTGCTCTCCCCGCATTGGGGTCGTCCGAGCGTTTTTTATATCGATGCGACAGCAGCGGCTGGCGTGCTTTGGCCTGGCCCACCTCCCCGCACCCACTGGAAGCCGCGCACCAGAGGTCACTCCTGCCTACGTCGGGTCACTCCTGCGTGTAGCCGAGGAGAGGGCGGAGGCCGCGGCCCAGAAAGGCTCGGCGGCGCGCACAATATGCCAGAACCCCCTCGCGTCGTACACAGAAGCACGGCGGACAGCTGTGTCTTCAATACAGCCTGATAGCGTGTCGCTACAGGGGCTTCTCCGTGACAGTGGAGGTGGAAAGGGCCACAGCAGTGTCCCACGCGGGGGTCGACGGGGAGCCCGAGACCGCCCGGTCCGGAAGCGGTCCGCCAGCCGTTTCGCCTGAGATTCCTCGACGATCTGTTCCGGAGCCGTGCTCTCGCTTCAATGCTGGCTACAGTTCTTGGAGGCCTGGAAGTGGGCAGCAACACCAACACATGGGGATTGCCTCCACGGGGGGAAGATGATCCTAGATTTCGATGCTGGTGGAAATATTTCGGTCACCGTGGAAGCCAAAAATATTACCACCATCACCGAGATCGGGATCTTCTTCCCTCGGTGGAGGCACACCGCCGATATTGGTGTTGGTAATAACCTCTAAGCCTGCGATCCCGTGTTCTCACCCTCCGATGAAATACGTAGGACTGCGCGGTTTCACGAGCCGGCCTTCTGTTCCTGGACCCGCCTCTTCACCTTCGCGGTTGTTCGGGTGCTTTGCTGGGGTAATTATCCTTCTCTGCCTCTGGGGCCCCTCGCCGGGCCCCGGGCCCGTACGAGAACGACTCGGGATGAAAAGACGGTCCCGAAAAATGGGTCGAGATCTCTGAGGGTCGACGCTGCGAACAAAAACCCGAGTTCGCGGGTCTGAGGGCACAAGGGGGGAGGGCAGCATGTTCCCGTTGGTCGCCGGACGCTTCTCGCCCCGGGATGCTTGCCAGCAGCTGCGCCTCGCCGAGAGCGTTCTCTCAGGGGGGTGCCCGAGTCGTCCCCGGGCGGCCGCCCGAGGCCCGAGGCGTGGCCCGCAAGCCAGCCATTGCTTGGTAGGCGAGTCCTGGCTCGCCTACCAAGCAATGTTCTAAGAACCTTTTTGGTGGTTTCCACGAAATGTGCTTAGAACAGTTCTGGCTGGGGCTTCCTTGTCTTAACACATCGGGCTTATGTTCTGAGAGCATTTGTACTTGTTCTAAAAACAGTTGGGGGCTCTCTGAGAACATGTCGAGGTAGGCCTGTAGGAATGCCAGGACGGTCGGTCCCTGCCCAAGTGAGAAGGCGTGGGGAGCTCTTCTCGGAAGGCAGGCGGTTTTTCATAATCCTGCCTGGTTTCGCAGACGCCTTTCGCGAGCACCCGGGCCCTTCTAATCCAGCAGTGGCGAGGCTTCTTGGCTTGCCAGGCCCCCAGAGACTGTTCGTAGGACCTTGTGCGGTGTCCAGGACTTTGTCTTCGAACATTTCTGGCCGAGACCGTCTGGTTTTCATTCATCGGGTTTCTGTTCTAAGAGCACGGTGTTTGTTTTTCGAACAGCTTTTGTCTAAGAGCTTGTCCTGGTTGGCGTGCAGGAGTGCCGGGATGGTCGGTCCCTGCTCAACCTATGGAGCCCATGCTGTTGGAGACCCCCCCAGCATTCTCAGAAGGTTGCCCCCCCCCCCCCCCATCGCGTCACCCCCTTCTCTGAGATCCGACGTTGCGAACAATTTGCAGCATCGCAGCAGGTCGCGACTGGAGTCCCAGACCCTGTCTTCCTGCGGCATCTCTCGAGCCAGATCCCCCGGGCCCGAAGCGTTGCAAGATCGCCCTTTGTTCGGATGCAATTCCTGGGAGGTCAAATTCTGATTTTGCCCTTGGTCCGAAATCTCGGTTAATCCGGCTTCATCCCGCTTAATCCGGCTTAGTCCCGCTTAATCCGGCTTAATCCGAGGCCCACTCCGGCGTAACAGCCCCCCAATGGGGCTTAATATTTTTTAATCTTTCCGACGAAAACCTCCCAGTAGTTGCCTCCTAACCTTTGCGAACAAGCTGCCACGCCACGATTCCATGAACAAGACATTGCATGAACAAAATTTCTCGGCACTCCGCTTGCTGGGCCCCCCTGGCGGCGTTGGGCATTCGGCCCCCCTGGCGGCGCCTCCGGCGATGATCCGAGAAATCGACGTGTCCTGTTCCGCTCACAGGAGCAATGAGAGTTCACGCAAGGATCGCAGTCTTGTGCGCGCCCCGCCCACAGGCGAGGCGGAGGTGGCCGAGCTGCAGGGCCGGCTGGGCGAGCGCCAGGAGCTCTCCCGCGCCGCCCACGGCGAGGCGCTGGCGCGGGAGGAGCGGGTGGCCGCGGTCCTCGAGGGGGCGGCCAGTGAGATCCGCGAGGTCTCCAAGAAGCAGCTGGAGGAGGTCCCAGACCCCCAGCGTGTTAAAACAAACATCCAGATGGAGAGGTTTTTCATACTTTTCTAGCTCTGGGGGCCCTCGCGGGGCCCCTGGGCCCTCAACAAACCGACTCGGGATGGAAAGCCGGCCCTGGCGACGGGGTCGGAGTTTCCAGGGGTCCCGCAGAAGAAGAACTGTTTTTTCCCTACCTAGGCTCTGCCTTGAAGGGTTCTTACTCGGTAAGCTTAAAGGGCCGGGCAATGGGGCCCGCCCCGGGCGGTTCCCCCAGTATCCGCCCCGCGGTTCCCCCAGTTACGCCCCCGGGGTTCACCCAGCTAAGCTAAACTCAGCTCAGCTTAGCTTAGCTTAGCTTAGCCTAGCTCATCTCATCTTAGCTTAGCTTAGCTTTGCCTAGCCACGCCTAGCTTAGCGTAGCATAACTTAGCTTAGCTTAGCTCAGCTTATCTCATATTAGCTAAGCTTAGCTTAGCCTAGTTTATCTTGGCTTGGCTTGGCTTAGCTTAACTTAGCCTAGCTTAGCTTAGCTTAGCCTAGCGTAGCATAGTTTAGCTTACTTTAGTTTAGCTTAGCGCAGCGCAGCATAGCGCAGCGCAGCATTAGCAAATCATAGCATAGTATAGCATAGCATAGCATATTCAGGCATATCATAGCATAGCATAGCATAGCATAGCTCAGCATAGCATAGCATAGCTTAGCATAGCATATATGTAGTTGTAGATGTGAGTCTCGCTGTTGATGTTGATGTAGATGTAGATGCAGGTGTAGATGTAAATGTAGCTCTCGGTGTAGATGAAGATGTTGCTTTTCTAAATGCTCCAACTCCTAGGTAGGGTCGCACTGGGATAATTGTTTGTTTGGCGCTGGAGGTGCCACCAGGAGGCCCAGCGCCGATCCCAGCAATCCGCTCGGAGCTGTGAAAGTTTGTGTGTATGCATGTGTTGTTCCTCTGGAGGTCCGAGCGCTGTCGCACCCGCCAGTGGTGGTCAGGAGGGCCCTGAGCCTGGTGTACTGCGCGCTGTACCCACGGGAGGCGGAACAGCTGCTGAAGTCGCCGGGCGGCATAGCATGGAGGGAGAGGATCGTCCCGATGATGAAGCGCGACGACTTCACTGGGCGCCTCGAGGCTTTTCCCCCTGCCGACCGGGAGCATCCATTCCTGGCCTCCCAGGCCATCATGGAGTTCATCGAGAGCCAGGTGAGCGGCGGACGAAGCGGGGTCGACTGCGCGGGCATTCGCGCGTTTCCTGCGCAAGGTCGCCGCGATGTACCGGGCTGGCGGCCTGCGTAAGCCGCAGCGTAAAGCCGCTATGCTTTCTCGAGCCCAGACCCCCGACGCGATGGTCTGTTCCCAAGGTCGACCCCCAGAGAGGTATCGACCTGTTCCGTGGGACTGGTTTTTCATTGTGGGTCGCTTTTTGACTGACCCGGGACCCGGCGAGAACTCCAGAGACGTCGGAAACGTCCAAAAGCCTCTCGTCGCGATGTTTTCGCGACGCGACACGGCGCGCTCAGGAGAGCGACAAAGGACAGCGATTTCGTCTTCATCGACGTGGGCGCGTCAGTTGTTCGCGTAAGGTCGCCCGTAAGTGCCCTCGTTTCCAGTGCAGCGTGCCACGCGGGCGGCCCGCATAAGCCACCGCGTGAAGTCGCTTTGCCGTCTCGCGTGAGACCCAGGTGGCAGAGGCCCCCGCGCCGGACCCGAGGCTCGCTGGCGGCAGCGGCCATGGCGGCGCGGCGCCCGAGAGCGCGGCGCCCGAGAGCGACCGCGTTGCAGCCCAGGCCACGCAGCAGCTGGGGGCCGCCGGAACAGCCCTCAGCGCCGCGCGGCTGCTGCGCGGACACGCTGGCGACGCCGCGGCCGCCGAGGAGCCCGCCGAGGGCAGCGCCGCGCGAGGCGGCGGCGCCGCGGGGCCAGCCGCCCCGCTGCCGTCGGGCGCGGGGGCATCCGTCGCGGCCAGGCGGGCCCGCCGTGAGAGAACGGTGTCGCTCGGCGACGGCGAGAGCGACCGCCTGACCCCAGAGGCGGTGACCTTCGCCTCCCAGGCGGTGGGCGTGCTGTTCTGCTGGCTGCTGGCGCAGCTGCGCTGCGCGCGCAGCCTCGCCGCAGAGGGCGCCGACCGCCTCGAGGCCGAGGCCGCCGAGGCACGAGCCCGCGGCGCCGAGGCAGGAGCGCGGGAGGCGAGCGCGGCGCTGGCGTTGGAGGAGGCGCTCGCCAGCGCCGCGCTGGCCGAAGCCGCGCTGGCCGAGGCGCGGGCGCACGCTCGGCAGTTGGAGGATGAGCTCGCGGGCGCGACGCGCGATGTGGAGAGGCTGCGCGGGGAGATCACGGCGGCCGAGGCGGCCGGGGCCGCGGAGGGGCCGCTCGAGGTCGCAGCGGCGGCGGCGGCCGCCGCCGAGCTGAGGATGGAGAGCGACCTCGCGGAGCGCGCCGTCTGTATGTCTCGCGTGGAGGTCGAGGTCCGGGAGCGCGTGGTCTTCGGCAAGGGCTCCTCGGAGGTGGCCTCTTTCGCCACGAGGTCCCTGCACGGCGTGGCGAACATCATGCAGCGGAACGGCGACGTCAAGCTGCTGGTCGAGGGCTATAGCCGGGCGGACGAGGAGGACGACCTGAGCACCCAGCGCGCGAACAGGGTCATGGAGACGCTGGTGGCGCAGGGCGTGCCCGCGCACCGCCTGCGCGCCACCGGCTTCGGCTGCGGGGGCGACCCTGCCGGAGACGGCCGCGTCGAGTTCAGCGTGATACAGGAGATATCCGTGAAGGGGACCGTGCAGTTCGGCCCCTGCAGCGATCACGTGACGGGCGACTCCGGGCCGATCTTGGACAGCGTCGCGGCGCTCCTCGCCGCCCGGCCATGCCTGCACGTGCGAGTGGAGGGCCACACCGACAACGCGCCGTTCTTCGGCAGCAACCTCGAGCTGGCGCAGTCGCGGGCTAGCAGCGTGGCCCGGGAGCTGGGCGAGCGCGGCTTGGACCCCGCGCGCCTCGTACCCGCGGGCTTCGGGGACGAGCTGCCGCGCGCCTCCAACGGCACGCGCGAGGGCCGCGCGCGGAACCGACGCGTCGAGTTCCATGTGCTGCAGCGCGAGACCATCGGCGGCCAAGACGACGACGACGACGACGACGACGACGACGACGGCGAACCACGACGACGACGACGAACCACGACGACGACGACGACGACGACGACGACGACGACGGCGAACCACGACGACGACGACGATGGCGAACCGCGACGACGGCGACGGCTGCGAAGCACGACGACGGCGACGACGAACGACGAACGACGGCGAAAACGAACGACTGCGAACGACGACCGACGGCGAACGGCGGCGGCGACGATCGGGAGCGGCCCAACCGACCCCTAGCAAACCATCCCTTCCGTGACGTCCCCTTTCGCCTCGCCCCAAGACGTATGCATGCGGCGGGAGGGAAGCTTAAAAGGCGAGGGTGACGTCAAGGAAGTGGATGCTAGGGGGTCGGTTGCCCCACGAGGCGGCCTGTGGGAGCTGATGCGGCGTAGCCAGGGCCGCGGGCAGATCGACGACAACGTCTTGCGGCACCTGGCGCGCACTGCCTGCGGCGCTGGCGTGCAGCTGGCCCTGCCGATCCGCGCCGCCGCTGCGGACCTGCTGCGGCGGATGCAGGCCGACTGGGCGGTACTCGGACGCGCGCACAATGGGGGTAGGGGAAGGGGGGAAGGCTTCTCAGCAAAAAGCTGCTTCTCAGAAGGCGCGGGCCTCCTCTGTAGGCGTAGGGCCCGCGCCCTCTGAGGAGCAGCCCCCTTCTAAGAAGCCTCCCCCCCCTCTGCCTACCCCCTCGCGCGCGCGGCCAAGGTGCAGCGCCTCCTCTTCCTGGCCTCGCGCCACGGCGACCCGTCACAGTGCCCGCTCGCGGCGCTGCCCGAGGACTCTGAGCATTCGAGTAGGGGATGGACTGCAGAGCTGAAGGCCCCACAGTTCCTTTTTTTCCGCCGAGTCAGCGAAGATTCCGCAGAATGCTCCGTAGATCTACGGCGCATCTTACGCACGTCTCGTAGACTCAAGGGAACATCAATTTCGGGGTACATCGATTTATGTAGTCGATCCCCTACTCGAAGTATGAAACTGTGGAATAGGCATACGCTTCCAGAGCTCCGCGCGGATTTCTCGGATCGGCGCTGGGTCCCCCTGGCGGCGCCTCCTCCGCCGCCTCTGGCGAGCTCTGCGCGCCAGGTAAGGGAGCCCAGCGCAGATCCAGGAAACCCGCGCGAAGCTTGGACAGTTTTTGTTCATACAGTTCTCCTTCGAGGACTGCGTCCACCGGGTCGTGCGGATGTACTTCCTGCTCGGCTGCTCTCCCCTGAGCCAGGCTCAGTGGGTCCCGGGCCCGTCGCTCGCAGAGGCGCTGTAATTATATACGCCCCTGGGGCCTGCAGATGTAGATACACCTCTGGGGCGTTTTCCGCCTTAGCAGCCAGGGCATCTCGTAGGACAGGAGACCCCGGCGCGACAGACACCGCCGCGCGACATCGGCGGGAGGCCACTCGGTGGCCCCCCCCCGTGGGAACGCACGTCGTGGCGACGTACGCTGCCGAGCGGTGATGATCACACGTCTGCGCCACCGGCTGCTTCTCCTCGTCCTAACCTGCCTTTTGCTTTTTTCCCTGCTCCTCGTCGCCCTCCCCCCCCCCTCCTGAGGAAGGGGATGGTGGGTGGAGGAGGAGGAGGAGGAGGAGGAGGAGGAGGAGGAGGAGGAGAAGGGAGGAGGATGAGCGGATGAGGAAGGAGGAGGAGGAGGCATAAGGAGAAGGAAGGTTTCCTCCTCCTTCTCCTGCACTAGCTCCTGGTCTCGCTGCTGCTGCTCGTCCTCCTCCTCCTTCTCCTCATCCTCCTCATCCTTCTCCTTGTCTTTCTCCTGCTCTACGTGCTTGGCGACCACCCTTCTCCCTCGCGTCTCGTCCGCCTGCTCCGACTGCTACTGTCTATTCGTCCTCCTCCCAGTCCTTCTCATCCTCGTCCTCCTCCTTTTCCTCCTCCTCCGCCTCCGCCTCCTCCTCCGCCTCCTCCGCAATTGCAAAATATGAATGTTACCCTCATCCCTCCCCTGATGACGTCCGGAAGATGTCCGGCCCCCTTCCGCGTATTGTTTTTTACACAGGATTCCTGGGAATTGGGTTTTCGCTTGGGCGTTTGTTCAAAATGTTGCTCCCGCTGAAGCGCTGGCCTCATTTTCGGGCTTCCGCTTATTCCAAATTGTGCTCCCGCTGCAGCGTTGGCCTTATTTCCGCGCTTCCGCTCGTTCCGAATCGTGTTCCCGCTGCAGCGCTGGCCTCATTTCCGCGCCTCCGCTCGTTCCGACTCGTGCTGCCGCTGCAGCGGTGGCGTCATTATTTCCAGTGCCATGCCACGGCATGGTTGTCGGTCCTTCCAAACAGGCCCAAAAATCTAGAACATGGCCCCCCGACAAAGGCCATCAGAAGTGATTCTTCATTCGGTGCCGATTCGTTGATCTTTTAGGCCGCAGAAGCCCCCACCTCTCACTTTGGGGCGTCGCCGCGCCATGCTACGGCATGCTACGCGTTGATCTTCAACACCATGCTATGCCATGCTACGCCATCCGACTCCGAATAGAGAGCAGATGTACGCCATGGTAAGGGATGGGAGGGAGGGGTAGGACGTGAGATATGACGCGAGCGCACCTGGTTTGTCCTCCTCCCCCTCCTCCTCCATCTCCTCCTCCTCCTCCTCCTTCTTCTCCTCCTCCCCCTTAGAAGATTTACAACATGTCGGAGGCCCGCACGATTGGATCAGCGCTGGGTCTTCTGGCGGCGCCTCCTGCGCCGCCCCTGGCCCACTCCGCGCGCCATGGGCAAACACACCAACAACCATGCAAGACATCGGCGCGGAACTCCAACAGTTTCCCATGTTCTGTGCTGCATCACTACGCTACGCCGCCCTCGCTTTCCTCATTGTCAACCTCCTCTTCCTCCTCCTCCTCCTGCAGCGCCCATTCGGTCATGTTCATGCTCCTGACGCCTCTTCCGCCCTCAGCCTCTTCGCCCCCCTCAGCCTCATCATGCTGCGGTCTTGGTCTTTTGGTTTGTCACCCCGCTGGTTCTGGCCTACACCGATTCGGCGCGACACGCTAATCACCTCCCAGTCGCAGTCGCCAGGCATCATCGTTCTAAGCGTTTAGCCTCCCGCCCCGCGGAACGGAGCGACAGGCTATCCGCTTGCAGGGCATAGCGTGTCGCAGAGGCTTCCGCCGCGACACGGTAAGTAACAGTTCCTGACCATCGTCCTGGCTCGCGTCTGTTCGGTTGGTCCCTTCCGCCTCTCTGGGCCCTCGCCTCGTTTCGCGTTCGGGCCTTTCGGCCCGATCTCCTCTCGTCGCTCCCTGCGTCCTGTCTCCTCTAGGGAGTCAGGGCTTGACGGTGACACACGCCGACATACAATAAGTCAGAAACCTGAATCCTTCTTCTGGCGATGCTCCTCCATCCACCCCGCTCCTCGTGCAGCTTCTCCTCCTGCTCTCTCCTCCTCGCTGCCGCCACGGCCGCTGCGGTGGTCAGCCGTCGGGCCGAGGCAAAGGACATGGCAGCTGGCATATGGATCGAGCCCCTGGGCCTGCGCTGGCTCTATGGCGGCGGTCGGCGCTTCGGGGAATCGCGCTGATGTCGGCCAGATCTGGAGCCCCCCCAGGGGTCCAAAAACTTTCGTGTTCCCTGCAGTCAACCCGGCGAACAGCGCCGACGTTGAGATTTGTGGCCCGCGCGCACACGCTACGAATGTACCGTGCAAGACGCCGACGCTGAGCACAACGGGATGAATGCCAGGTCGAATACGTTGCTATCATTGCATGTGGCAGCACGCGACGAAGCGATAATTGGTTAGTTAGATCTTCACTTTCTCCTCCTCCTCCTTTGACCCCTCCCCTGCAAACCTCGGGGGCACGCAGGGAGGTAAGCGGGTCCTTGACCGCGGGGCTCTCTCCAGGCATCGACTTGTCATCCTGGAGGGCCCTGGGAGCTCGAAAACGGACCCCAACTTTCAGGGCCCGAGGAGGAGAAAGAGGAGGAGGAGGAATAGGAGGAGGAGGAGGAGGAGGAGGAGGAGGAGGAGGAGGACCGTTTCCATGAGTACCCGTTGGGAATTTACAGACATGGCGTCGCCTTCAAGGGATCGCGGGTTTGGCACCTCTTCCCCTGCGGGGGGCCACGGAAGGCCTGCAGAAGCAAAATGGTTGCCGTCCCGCTGGCGGAAGGCCAGCGGAAAGGCGGAAGTACATGATGGACCGAATGCCCATTACCCTTACCATAGGTAGGACGAGGGTGAAGGGAGGATAGGAAGGTCCTCTTCCACCTACTCCTCCCTCTCCTCCTCCTCCTCCTCCTCCTCCTCCTCCTCCTCCTCCTCATCCTCCTCCTCCTCCTCCTCCTCCTCCTTCTTTCTCCTCCTCCTTTACTCCCTTCACCTCCTCCTCCTCCTCCTCCTCCTCCTCCTCCTCCTCCTCCTCCTCCTCCTCCTCTCCTATGACGCTGCAACATCGTCCTCTTCCTCATCTTCCTCTCCCTTCTCGTCGTGGAAAATCGGCCCATCTGTGCAGAGTTTTCCTCACCCGCCTCCCCAGCACTCCGTCTTCATGAATGTTGTCACAAGTTGGGCGCCCAGAGGTCTGGACCATTTCCCTGGGCACAGCTGTTCATCCTGGGTTGTTTTTTAGGGCGGTCCCAGGGCCCTTGTGAGGGCCCCGGAGAGGCAGAACCTCTGAAAACAAGCTCCGTCGTATTGGGAAGGCCTTACGGCCAGTGCCGCCGACCCTGAAGGGGGACGACGACGACGACGACGACGACGACGACGACGACGACGACGACGACGACGACGACGACGACGACGACGACGACGACGACGACGACGACGACGACGACGACGACGACGACGACGACGACGACGACGACGACGACGACGACGACGACGACGACGACGACGACGACGCGACGGCGACGACGACGACGACGACGACGGCGACGGCGACGGCGACGGCGACGATGGCGTCGACTGCGGCGGCGGCGGCGACGAGGGATGCTTCGTGGGGCCTCTTTGGAGCGCGCTCGCAGGCCTCTGGGGGCTCCATTCTAGTTTTGCTCCATGGCCCGGGGGGGTCTTGCTCATGGTGACCTCTGCCCTCCACTGCCGTAGATCCTTGTGTCCATATGCATTGCGGCTCGGAGTTGATGGGCTCCCTTTCACGGAACCCCGAAGCGCACTGGATATGGGTGAGCCCCTGACCCTTAGAGAAGCTCGATCTGTATCCATGTCCAGTGCGCCTCGGCCTTGTGGCGCCCCTTCCAAGATAGTCCAAGACGCGCCAAATATGAATTCAAATCTTGCACGCGCTCCCAGGCGCTCCCAAGCGCTCTAAGGCGCTCCCGCGCGTCCCAGGCGCTCCCAGGCGCTCCCAGGCGCTCCAGGGCGCTCCCAAGCGCTCCCAGGCGCTCCCCAGCGTTCCCCGGCGCTCCCAGGCGCTCCCAGGCGCTCCCAGGCGCTCCCTGGCGCTTCCACCAGTGCGCCCCCGTCCGGAGTGCCGCCCGGAGAGGCGGGCCTGCAGCGGCTGGCGGCCTGCCCGGCGCCCAGGGCCCTGCAGTTGTGCGAGTGCAGGCTGGGCCCAGACCTGGGCGAGGCCCGCTGGGGGGGGGGCGCCAGAGGGTGCGAAGCAGCGCCCCGCTGCCGCCAGGGTGCGCGAGGAGAGGGCAAGAAGAGGAGGAGGAGGAGGAGGAGGAGGAGGAGGAGGAAGAGGAGGACGAGGAGGAGGAGGAGGAGGAGGAGGACGAGGAGGAGGAGGAGGAGCTTCGTTCTTGTTGTTTTCTCACCTTTTCCCTAATGCGCCCGCCCCTCCCACCCAGGTCCTTGCCGGGTGGGAGGGGCAGGAAAGGTGTGCATGGCTACAGGAGAACCCAGGACCGCCATGAGTGAGTGAGTGAGGAGGAGGAGGACGACGAGGAGGAAGAGGACAATGATGGGCGGACCAGTGTCGCCTCCGTCAGTGCCTGCCTGCTGTCATTCTACCAGGCGGCCGAGTTCCCGCCGCCACGGACCTGCCTCGATCCACACCCGTCGGTTGCTTACCCGTGCTGCGAATGCGACCGCGTCGCCCACACGTTGGGGGCGTAGAGGTTTCAGGAGACGAGCCCACCTGTCCACAGATCTCGCCGGTTCTCTAGCTGGGCCAGGAGGAGTCTGCCACGTATGCCTTCGCGGTTTCCGACCTCCTGCGGCATCTCTGGCACGGTGCGAAAGCATGTCTCCAAGAGGTCTGACCCAATGAGGGCGGTTCCTACCGCTGGAAGAAGCTGAGGCCCTCCGGCAGCAGGACTACGAGGAGGCCCGTCACCCTCAGTGCTATTGGTCTTCGCCCCAGCTCCGCCGAGACCCCCCCCACTTGAAGTATACGGCCATGGATTGCTCCCGCCACCACCTAGCCACCTCTGGGTCCCCACGCGCATCTTAGCCCCGGCCGTGGCGAACAACGTAGAGCAGATCCCCTTCCACCCGCACCGCCCTTGTCGCACCGTCTCTTGCGTCATGCGCGTGTTTCGCGGCCCGCGCCGCCCGGAGGATATCCAATCCCATATTGAAGGCCTGGTATTGGCCGCGAGATTCCCGGGTCATGCTCACCCTGCAAGTGGCCAGCGATGAGGTTCAAGAGTGTAAACCAGATTCACGTACGACATGTTAGTCCTTGGACTTCATCAAGGTTGGGCAGACGATCGGTGTGTTGGCGGACCCGCCGTGCGCGACGTGGCCCGCAGCGCGACCGTGCTTTCTCGGATGGCGAAGAGGCCCCTGCCCTGTCAGATCCATCAGTAACTCTTGGCGCGCCCCCTAACAGCTCCAGGCCCGAATTGAAACAGCTTGAGCTGGGCAACGCGCTGCACGGATCGAGTATGGGTTTTCATGTATCCTCGTTATATGTTTGGAGCGGCAGGCACCTTTGTCCACCCCGCGCCCCCTTCTGACTTCTGGCCCACTCTAGCTGGTTCTCGCCAGAGGCTGTCCACCGGCGCGCTCTGGGCAGACAGGACACCAGCGGCAACTTGGATTCTCTCCAGCATGGTCAGTGCGAATCCGCGGCGACCGCAGTCGATCCCCCCCCAACCCTTGACTCTTGTCCTCCCTCTTGCCCCGTCCTCCTGGCCAACTGGCGCGTCCGCCTGCGGGGTCGCGCCTGCATGTGGGGTCCGAGAGAGATGTGGGGCAAGTAATAGAGGAAGGAGGGTCAAGCGCGGGAGCATGGAATGACTCGCGGCAAACGTTTCGATTTGTCTGGGTGCACCACCATTTATTGCAGTGCAAGCGGGCGTACCAACTTAGACTTGCGATGTTTCCAAGATGGGGAAAGCGACGCGGCCTTAAGAGCACCTAGTCGACTCTCGCATTACCATTTTAGGCGGGTGACGCGGGAAAGTTTTGCGGACGGGGGCAGGGCACAAGAGGAGGGCGGCACTTGTCAGTTGGATGTGCGCGGCACATGACCAGACTTCGCAACACCTACATACGTCTTTTTCCTCCTCCTCCTCTAGTTCCTCTAGTTCCTACCAGAAGGCGGTTCGCTCTGCAAACCAGCCTCGGCCCCAAACGGGGATCAAAACACTCCACGGCAGACCCAGGACCCGCCAGGCAAGAGACCTGGCGCGGGGGGCCCCTTGGAGTCCGATCAAAACCAAAATTAAACCCTCCTCGCCGCCGCCCTCGAGACTGGGAACGGGGCCGCTCCCCAGCGGCAGCCAGTCTGGGGTTCCCGCCCCGCTCTGAGGCGCTCGAGGGCGCGGCGGGCCAGGCGAGCCGCATCGCGGCCCTTGCTGGCCAGCGGGACGCAGGGATCGGCCAGGAACTTTGCTTGGCGACTCCCGTGGGCCCCGCATGTTCGACAAAACACGATGCAGCCACCCGTCCCAAAGGATCTCCGACACGGCCCGTCCCCACCCCGAATCACCCAGAGCCTGTGGGACGGGTGGGACCTGGCGACCAACCACGGGAGTCCTGGACAGGCGCTGGCGACAACCCTGGCCCTGGCCGCACGCCGGATCCCGCAGACCGAACAGCCCCAGGCACGACCAAGCCTGGCCAGGACGTGGCCCCTGTCGGGCCCAACCAGGGTCAGGGTCCCAGGATCCGAGCCCCTGGGCCTAGGGAGGGCCCCGCGGTCAGGCCATCCGAGGTCGGCGAGCCTTTTCAGGATCCCCCCGTGGTGGCCGCACCAGGCCACTGCTTGCACGGCGGCGGCGTCCAGGCGGCGGCTCAGCTCACTCAGCTGCTCCTGCCTGGGGTGGAGCCTGGCGCCCTCCTTCGCCCTCAGGTCTGCCTCCCTGTTGCCCGCGTATGCCTGCCATGGCACGCCTGCCACACAGGCCCTGGCCCACGAAGTGTGCGACGGCAGCCACGTCAACGTGAGGAAGCCAGGGCCGAGGTCGTCGAGCCGCTGCCAGATCCGTCTCCACAGGTCCGCATACTTGTGGCCTGGGCCGCAGCAGCGTTCACGGCCCGCCTCGAAGTCGTCTTTGATCCCCTTGCAGTCCGTGTAGACCGTGATGGGCGATGGGCCGACCTCCTCCAAAACTTTGCGCAGCGCGTAGAGCTCAGCATAGCCGATCTCCTGGATCCAGCCTGGCGTGAGCCCGAGGAGGCCGCCGACGGTGTTCCCGACGTCGTCTACCGCCACGGCTGCCCATCCCGTGCGCGTCAGGCACTGGGCCTCGGGGTACATCGCGGACCCGTCGATGCAGATGACACCTTCGAGGAGGCCGTGCCGCGCGCTGCCTGCGCGATGGCAGAGCTCGTCCATGCCAGGAGGCGGGGCTTGGTCCAGCCCGAGGTTGACGAGGCCCCTGACTAGGCCCAGGTCGTCCTGCGGCGCCCTCCTGCCTGCGTCGGCGATCTCCTGGAAACCCAGGTCGCGCGCCCAGCAGGCGATGGCGGGGCATGCGAACAGCCTGTGGTGCGCCGTGCCTGGTGCTTCTCCGCACCACTGGCACAGCGGGCTGAGCTCTGCCCTCTCAACGTACAGGTCGGACTGCGTGACGAGCCCTCCTGCCATATGTGCCTCTACCAGCGCTGCCTCCTGCACCTTGCCTGCACGCCGCATGCCCGCCAATGCCGCCCTAAATGGCTCCAGGCTCGGCGGGCGGCCCTGGAGATGTTCGAACCCCTCGTGGCTCGCAATCTTCAGCATGAGGTGACGGTGGACCCCATTCTCGACCAGGCTGGCTACCATCCGCGGGCTGAGCAGCTGCAAGTCGATGATCTGCCCGCGGTCGTCCCTCCAGCAGTGCCAATTCAGCAGCTCCCAGCCGATGCGCTCCAGCGAGAGGCGGACCGCCCCTGCTGGCCCAGTGACCTCGCCCCAGTCGTCTGGTCTGCGCTCCAGCACCTGCTTGAAGACCGCAGGGGGCCGCGCGCCCAGGAAGACGGCTCGCGCCCAAGCCCTCAGCGGTAGAACGTGCGCCGCGTAGGCGGGGTCGTGCTTCCAGTCCTTGCCCTCCTGCAGGGCGAAGACGACCGTCCTGGATCTCTGGCCGATCTCGCCCGAGATGGCCCTGCCGTTGATTGCTCGGGCGCGCTGCAGGGTCTTCGTGGGTACTCCACTGACCCTCGCTCCGTGGAGGATGGGCGCCAGCCCTCCTGTCCTGAAAACCTTGGAGAGCCTCTTGGCCCCCGCCTTGCGCAAGGCCCTGTACCGCCCAGCCCTCTGGCTCAGGCGATCGATCCTCTGCCGTAGCACCCTCCACGAGGCCGACCTCGCCATAGTGAAGTCCACGCCGAGGTTCTTCGTGGCCTTCACATGTGTGAACCTCCACCGTCTGAGCCTGTGGGCGACCCGCTTGGCGATGTCGGAGTCGGCGCACAGAACCTGGCCCTTCGTCAAGGAGATGATGAAGCCGATGGCCTCCAGGTCCAAGCAGAGGGCGCGGGTGGCCCCGACCAAAAGGTGCTCCAGCTGCGCTCGCTTGGCGTAGACCGCCACCGTGATGTCGTCGACCACTAAGTATGGACGCACCCTCTGCCAGGCCGCCAGCATCGCGTCCAAAGGCTCGACCAGCACCACGCGGAGCAGCGTCGTGGCGAAGGAGCAACCCGCCAGCAGTGACAGGAAAACCTGGAATGCCTCCGTCATCCAGCGGCCCAGGCATAGGCGCCTCCTGCCCCCGTAGAGGCGAAGGAGGATCTTGACCCTCCTCAGCGGGAAGCCCTCCCTCACCGCGGCGTGGACCATCCCCCTGTGCGTGACCCTCTCGTAGGCCTTGCTGAGGTCCAGGAGCGCGGAAGCGGCCTCCAAGTTCAGCGCCTTCGCGTGGTCCGCGTCGAAGCTCTGCAGCCAGACCGCGTCCTCGCAGGACCTGCCAGCACCGCCGAAGAAGTAGGGTCTGTCCTTGGCGGCCTCCCAGCGCTTCGCCTCGTCGTGCCTGATCTTGCCCATCAGGCGGATCAGGGAGGCGATCAGGCCGATGGGTCGCCAGCCCCCATCGGGCTTGGCCAAAAAGAAAATGAAGACCTCCGCCACCTGCGACGGGAAATCCGTCCGCAGCTCGATAAGGTGGAACAGCAGGCTGAGCGCGAGGATTCCGTGGTCGGAGAGCCAGCCGAAGTGGTGCGGCTTGAGGCTGTCCACCCCCGTCGCCGTCTCGACCTTGAAAGACCTCGCCGCCGCTCGGATGGCGTCGGGCGCAGGCGGGCCAGGGGCCCCGTCCAGGAGCTCGTCGGGGAGCATCGCCTCCAGGTCGAAGTCCTCTTCCTGGTGCCGCCAAACCTGCTGGTACTCCGTCTTCAGCGCTTCCAACGTACCAGCGATGCCTGCAGGCCGTCCGCTGGTTTCCACGTCCGCCGTCCAGCCCCGCGGGGCCCTGCAAAAGCCGTGGGCGGCCCCCGCGCCCCCGCGCACTGCCTCCTGGGACCACTCCCTCCAGGCCTTGGCGCGGCCCTTGGCATCCCTCAAGTCGAAGGCCTTGGCGGCCTGCCTGGCGTAGGCCTCCAGGGACTTCAGCTGTCCGTACGTCATGTGGCTCGTCGCCCGCAGCTGCCGCGCCACGTCCCTCTGCCTGTCCCTCTTCTGGGCCTCATTAAGGCCGATGTCGCCAACCAGGTCCTGCGCAGCCAGCTTGCCTATCTTGGCCTGCAGCCGCGCCAGCACGTCCAGCTCCCTCGAGACGAGGTGCGGCGCCCGCAAGCGGCGCCTGCTGGCCAGCATCTCCCAAAGCAGCGCCGCGATCCTGTGCCAGGTGCGCGCCTGCGGGGAGCCGCGGGCGCGTGTCCCCCGCCTGCTGGCGCTGATGGTGCCCTCCTGGAAGCGGGCGGACTCGCCGCGGCCCGCGCACTTCATCAGGTCCTCCTGCTCCATGTCGAAAAGGCCGCCCAAGTCCTCCTCCAGCAGCGCCGCGAAGCTGGCGTAGAGCTCGTCCAGCGTCCGAGGCCAGCTGCCCGTGGCCCGCGGGGCCTCGAGCCCCGCAGCAGGGTCTAGCCGCTCGACCTTGGCCACGCACTCGACCGCCTCCTCGTCAGAGTGCCTCTGGCCTGCGCCGCTGACCTGCCCTGCAGGCTCAGTCTCGCTCTCCGTGGCGGCGCACGGGGGCAAGTCCAGCACGTCGCCCTTCAGGGAATGGACGACCGCTGTCCAGTCCTCGTCGTAGCACGCGCGAACTCCTCGCAGCGCCTCGGCCGACGCTGACGGTGGCAGCAGGACGGGTGGCCCTAGACCGCTCGGCAATGTCTCATGGCCGTCGGAGCTCGCCACACGAGCAGGGCAATTTATCGCAGGCTGCCCCCAACTGCCAGTCCCAGGACTTGGATCCTGGGGGGCCGCTCCCGACGGGACTGGCCCCCCAGGATCGCGCCTCTCGCCGCCTCCCTGGTCGAAGGACTCGTCCAGCACGGCGGCCTCGACGTTCTCGGGAGCCCCTCCAGGGGCGGCGTCGTCGGCCTCCCTGGCAGGCTCGGGGCCATCCTCTGACGGGCCCTGGCTGCCTGCGGCGCTGCCAGGTGCGACCGCCGCGATGGCGTCCGCCAGCTCCGAAAGCAAGCCTGTCCAGCACGGCGGCTCCCGCCTCGGCCCCACGGGTCGCTCGGTGGGGAAGGGCCTTGGTGCCCGATGCCGCAGCGCTCTCTCCGGCTCCTTTTTGCCGTCCAGCGTCAGCTGCACTGGGTAGTGCGGGCTCAGGGCTGCGTCCAGACGCGAGACCTTCTTCACGGCTGCGCCCATGTTGCTGGGGACCACGAAGAAGTCGATCTCTGTGCCTCCTCCTATTCTGCAGGTGGTCTGCCCCGAGCTCGCCACGAAGCCCGAGACTCGATCTGGCCAGCCCCATCTTTCGAGCTCCTGCGGCGCGCAGTTCCAGTCGCCGCCGATGATGTACGGGGCCTGCACCGCCTCGAGGTACTGTCCCAGCTGCGCGAGCAGCACCCTGCTCTCGGGGTCCAGGCCGCTGGTGGTCGCCACCAGATAGACCGAGACCGCCAGGAATCCTCCTGGGACGATGGCGTTCACCCAGCGGGCCACCATCCTGTCGGGGGGCAGCGAGGGCCCCGCAGGCGGCTTGCCCATGCCCAGGTGGGCCCTGCACACGATGCCGACCCCGCTGGAAAGCCCCCCTCGCTCCGTGCGGCGGGCCTCTGTGAAGGAGGCCTTCCATCCGTCCCGTCGGACGGCCTGCTCGACCTCCGCCCTCGCTCCTGGCGCCACGCCCGTCTCCTGCGCGAAGAGGATGTCGCCCTGCGCCTCTTCCTGCAGCCAGCGTCGCATGCTCGCCCTGGAGGTCGTGTTGGCAGAGACCAGCCTCCAGAGTGAGCCCTCGCGGGGCGCCCTGGCCCTGCGGTTCGCAGCTGCCGCCCCCGCGCCCTCGGGCGCCTCAGTGGGCCTGGTCCTCGCTCTTCTCTGCTGCCTCGGCCGCGCCTTTGCCTGCAGCGGAGCCCGCTGGGAGGCGCAGGCGCTTGGGCAAGGAGCAGCCGTGCTACTCGAGGAAACGCTCGACCTCGGCTCGTTTGGCCCCATCGAGGGCCTCCACTCTGGCGTCGAAGTCGTCGCCCTCCTCCTGCATTGCGTCCCCTCCCGCGGCTGCTGGTGACCCGCCCTCGCGGTCGGGAGGGCGCCCAGCAGGAGCAGCAGCAGCAGCAGGCGCCCCAGAGGGTGGGGCCTCCGCCGCCCGCTTGGCCGCCTCAATGCGGGCCTTGCTCGCGGCGGCGAGCTTTGAGAAGAGCTCGATGGCCTGGGTAACCTGGACGGCCTCCTCGCCCTCGAAATGGTCCTTGAGCTCGGCGGCGTACCTCGCTCCGAGGGTGGCTTGGGCCAGCCTGTCGACGTCCTGCGCGCGCTGGTCGAGCTGTGCTTCGGGCGGGAGGCCCGCCTGCTCCACCCTCCTGGCGCGCTCGAGCAGGTCCTGCGCCTGGGCGTGGGCCTTGGCTGCGGCCTCCTTGGCCTCCGTGGCCTTGTCCACCGCCAGCTGGGCGTCCGCCAACGCCTCCTGTGCGGCCTCCAAGTTCTGCTGAGACCTCTCGAGCTTGCCCGCCGTGTTTTTGACCTTCCACATGGCGCTCTGCACCGTGGCGTGGTGCGACTTGGGCGCCTCTGGGCCTGCCTTGCTTGGGTCGGCCTGCCTGCCGACTCCCAGCTTCTTCTGCGCCTCCTCATCAAGCTGGACTCCGCGCTCCTCCAGCAGCCGCAGCGCTGCTGCCAGCTGGTCGGCCTCGTCGTCCTCCCTGATCTCGACGACCTCCGCCTCGCGGAACCGCACCCGCCGAGGCTTGCCGCCGCCGTGCACCCAGGGCGCCTCCGCGGCCGCCGCCGACTGCTTGGGCTCCGTCTCGGCGCTGGCCTTGGCGCCCGCCTTGGCCTTGGGCGCCACTGCCCTGGGCGGCCGCGCCGCGGACGGGGACGGGCCTGCCGCCGCCTCCACTGCCCGCTGCCGAACGGAGACAGGCGCGGGGCCCCCGCAGCTCCTGCAGTGGAGCCGCGATGCCCAATTGGCCGCCTCGCCACAGCGGCAGCCCCAGGCTGGGGTCTTGGGCCCCGGGAGCACGGTGCCGCCGCCGCCCTGCGCCGCCGCCCCGCCGTGGCCGCGCGGCCTGGTGCCCATTGCGTGAGCCAAGAGGGCTGCGGAGGCAAAGGAATGGCGAGAAGTCTGGTGATCGTTGCCAGTGCTCGTGCGCACACGGCGCTCTGAAGTATGTACGCACAAGACCCCCCCACCTGGGAGAGCCCAGAACGCCTCTCCTCCTCCTCCTCCTCCTCCTCCTCCTCCTCCTCCTCCTCCTCATCCTTTCCCTTCTCCTCCTCCTCTTCCTCTTCCTCCTCTTCCTCCTCCTCCTCCTCCTCCTCCTCCTCCTCTTCCTTCCCTTTCAGTCCAGTGTCTCGCTGCGGCTTTCGTGCTCCGGTGTCGTCGAGAAGAAGGCGGAGGAGTAGGGGGAGGCATGGGGGGAGGAACGCTTATGGGAATGAGGAGGGGGATGACGCCCCGCTGCCACCGTTTGCTCGAGGACTCTGGAGGAGGAGGCGGGGGAGGCGGAGGAGGAGGAGGAGGGAGCAGGGGAGGGGAATGGGGGGGGAGGAAAGAGAGGAGGGGGCAGGGGGAGGAAAGCAGGGAGGACGAGGAAAGTCCGAGTTACGGCCGAGCAGCCGGACTTCCCGCATATAAAACAGCAGCGCGGCGTTATTCGTCATTTTCGGCATCAGAAAGGCCCTCGCGGGGCCCCATGGGCCGTCAACAAAACAACTCGGGAGGAAAAGCAGGCCGCGGGGGGGCGATCGGGACTGCCGGGGACCTCGCAAGAAACACTTACGCCAGATCTCTGGGGATCCAGCTCGAGAGTTTTCGCTCCAAGATGGGGTCGAGGGCCCCGGTCGCGATTTGTCCACGACGTCTGGCGTCCAAAAGGGAAGCCCCGCAGCGAGCACTCCCCAAAGTGTCGATCCCGCTGCGAGGAGTCCTGCGCAGAAGGTCGAAGACTCTGGCCGCCTTTTTTCATTCCGAGGTGGGAATTTATCGACATCTAGGCCTCGCCGGATGAGGTCCGAGTAGATGGGGTCGGAAGATCGTGCCGCATCGCTGATGCATCGGCGCTGCGGCCCGATGTGGAGCCCATCTTTCTCCACGCTGGCGGCGCCGACGCAACGTCGCCGATGCATCGCGGATGTATCGGCGACCCTCCGACCCCACTTGGTCGGTTCCCATCTCGGAGGCCTCCACCACAGCCACCTCCTGGGGAACTGATCTTCACGGACCTCGGCAGGCGGTGGGCGTGGATATTTCCGAGGCTCCTGGGGGCCATAGTACTCAAATCCAGATCCACCGCCCGATGGGGCCCCGGTGCGTCGGTTCACCAGGCGGTGGACATGGACGTGCCCCCGCACCGCTCTCACGGCGCCCTGGGGGGGGAGCCCCGTCGCGAGCGCCTTCCGAAGTGGGCGCAGAGGTGCTGGGGCGCCTGGTTGCGGCGGGCGTGGAGGACCCCACGGCGGCCAAGACCACCCAGAAAGTGAGATCCGCCCCCGCCCCCTCCGACTTGGGGATCAAAAAGGGGTCCGGGCAGCGTTTGAATCATTCGAGTCCCTGCAGGTGATGCCCAGAGGCCCGCGTGCTGGCCAGATTCTTGTGTGGCCCCCGAGACGGACTTCCACGGCGGATCGGTCAGGCCAGTGTTCGGATGGCTTATGGCTCTGGTGGCACTCGAGCAACTGAACTGGGAGCCCAGCGCTGACCTGGCGTTTTTTTTCTGCTCCCCAGCCAGGACCACAAGGTGGTGAGATCTGCTGCCCCGCCCACTGCCTTCCCCTGAGAAGTGCACGTGCCGCCTCAGATCTTGGAGGTCCCTGCGGAGGCCTCCCGAGCGCCAAGAAGGGCCAAACGCGTCGACCTGGGCAAGGCCACGGGGCAACGACATGGGGGTAATGGCCCAGGGAGTGGGCGGTATCGGTCCCCAGCCCAAATCGCCCATGTATCGCCAGTCGAAGCGTCGGTGCACTACCCCCCCCCCGGGCACATGCCGTTGCAGGACCTGTCGCAGGTGAATCGGCGACATGTCGCCGATTTACCGGCGATGCGTCGCCGATTCCAACCCAATGTCCCCCCCCAGGAGCCAGTCTTTTCTCCCCCAGTCGCTTCCCCCACAGAAGCGTCGCACCGTCCCTTCCTCTTCGTCCCCATCGCCCTCCTTCACTTTGCCCCTCTGCTGGGGCAGGGTCCCCCAGACATCCTCCGACTTGATGTATTTTCATTCTGCGGCCTCAGAGGTTACCCCTGCCCCAGGGTGTTTTTTGTTGGGCCCTGGTGGCCATCCCCGCCCAGGGCTGTGGAGACTTGTGATGGAGGGCATGTCGCCAATCTGTTGGCACTGTGCCGCCGATTCTTGGTCGATATTTCTTCCCACGCTGCGTAGGTCAATGGTTCCCCCCCCCACCCCACCCTTCTGAGCTGGCCACCACCCCTATCGTTCCTTGTCGCGTGGGGAGTAGGGGCCTCGAGGGACCAGGGGGTGTCCTGAGGTGGTGCTGTCGGCCTCCCGGCGGCGCCCTTCCCAGGCCCCAGAGCTCAAAAACCCAGCTCTGGATGCAACGCTGGGCCCTTAGAGTCCATAGGCCGCGCTCCCGTTCAGGTCCCTTGTGCTACCTCATGCCAAAACGTTTTACCTCGAGTCAATAGGCCGCGTTCCCTTTCAGGTCCTTTGTGCTACTTCGTGCCGAAAACGTTATACCTCAGCTGGACGGGGGGGGGAGGCGGGAGTCTCGGTTGCCCTGTGGATCTTAGATGTATGCAGAGGTCGCCGGATATCTCCAGAGGTCCCCGGGGGGGGGTTGTCCGAGACCTCCGCGGGGATCTCCGCGGAGGTTTCCGTGCAGGCGCCCCCACCTGGAGGCTCAGAGAGGCGGGCCAATCACGCCCAGAGGCCCCGGTCGACCTGCCGCGAGGGCGCGGCTCACGCTGCCCCCATGCGGGTCGCCGAGGAGGAGGAGGAGGAGGAGGAGGAGGAGGAGGAGGAGAAAGGTGCCCTGGATTTGAAGCTGGCTGGGGGCGGCCGAGGTTGCCCAGCATTGGTTCTGGCCAGCAGGGAAAGGGGGACAGAGCTCGAGCGGCTTTATGGTGTCCAACACAGGGGTAGCGAGGCGTCAGGAGCTTCTGGAAGGTCCTGAGAAAGAGCTTCGGAAGGAGCTTCTGGAAAGCTTCAGACTACACGTAATCATTGGGATTGACTTCGAGAAGGCCTTCCAGAACGCGCTGGAAGCTCAAGCACGTTTCTGCGACGCTCCCTGCCAGAAGCCTGAACGAGCTCCGGGGCTACTCTTGACGGCTGGTTTCTAATTTGAAACCGTCAGAGCTCACAGAGGGCTATCCTCGCAGACCAAGAGGTCGAAACCAGCACCAATGTCGGCGGTGTGCCTCCACCGAGCGAGGAAGATTCTGATCTCGGAGATGGTGGTAATATTCTGGCTTCCAAGTTGACCGAAATACTGCCCCCAACACCGAAATCTAATATCATTTTGCCCTTGTGGAGGCAAGCCCATGTGATGGTGTTGGTGCCCACTTCCAGGCCTCCAATATCCGGGACATTGTCCGTCGTCCTTGCCTCTTGGCCCCTTCCAGCCCTGGGTCCTCCCGGCTTCCTGTCTCGAGCTCGCACGGCGCGGGCGCGACTCTCGCGGCCCCCTCGGCCTCGACCTCTCACCGTCGTTGGCGGGCAGGGCGGAGGGCGGGTCCTTCCCTCGACCTTGCCGGGCGGGAAGGGGCGGTTGCGGCCCCCACCTGTCTCGAGACGATCGACATGGGTATGAAAATAATGGGACGGACAAGATTTACCTGATGATTGTGAGCAGGATTCGCTGTCGGTATCGCCGCGGACGTTGTCCTCTTGAGCCAGAATGCCCCCTGCCCAACAGCGTCCGCTGTTGGTTTTTGGACAACCCTTGTTGTTGGACGAACGCTTTTTCGTACACATTTCGGGCGTCCAAATCTCCCTGAGGCCGTTTCCGCGAAGGGCGCTCGAAACTACAAAAACGCTTGGACAGGGCTATCCCAGGTTCCATGATGGTGCACGGACACCGGGCACCCGTGGCCAGCCCAGGATGGCTCTGGCTGGGCATGGTGCTGGCGCATCGGCTGCACGTCGGAGTAATCCCTCCCCAGAATGATCTGTGGTGCCCAGCGCTTCTGGAGGGCGCGCGGGCGGGGATGGTGCGGGCCGCGCTTCTAGAGGGCGCGCCCAGGGGTGGGCGGGGAGGTGCGAGGGAGGGCAAGCCCGAGGACGAAGGCCGCCACGGTCGCCTCGCGTGCAGCGATCGGCAAGCATCGCGCCGAAGGCCGCTCCCTGCCTTGGGGGGGTCGCCCCCGCATGTGGCCGCCAAGCGCGTACAGTACATGTGCATGTGCCTTCTGCGCATAGTCGGCCGCCCCCCAGACATCCGCCGATAGTTTTTGTTGCGTCCGCGGCCCAAAAGGTCCCGTCCCCTTCCCCCGGGGTAGTTTTTCGTTCCTGGTCCATGTTTCAAAGCCCCGGGGCCATGGTATTCTCGCACCACGGCCTGGAGGAGCGAAGGTTTGGGGCATGAAGGCGTAGGCATAGGGGGGGAGGAAGAAGAAAAGAATTGCAAGGAAAGAGAGACAATTATGATGGATGAGAAAATGGCAGAGGACAGGAGGAGGAGGAATAGGAAAACGGATAGAGAAAATTGTGGGAGGTGATCAATATTCCAGGATCGAGGTGCGCGGATCGCCCTGAGGACCTGGACCTGCGCGACAACCCGGCGCTTGGCGGCGCCGTCGAGGAGATGCTCTCGGCCCTGATGCCGGCGGAGCGCGGCCGTGCCGCGGCGCCGTTGCGGCGGCTCCGGCTCGACGGCTGCGCGGTGGGCGACGACGGCCTAGAGGCCCGCGTGCGAGGTTCGAGGATCGATTCTCCCTCGCTCCTCGATCCTCAATCCTCGACCCTCCCTCCTGCTCCTTGAACCTCCACCGCCTCCTCGATCCTCGACCCTCCTTCCTCGATGCTCGACCCAACCTCCCTCCTGGATCGTCGATCCTCGACCCTCCCTCCACGATCCTCGATCCTCGACCCTCCCTCCACGATCCTCGATCCTCCCTCCACGATCCTCGATCCTCGATCCTCGATCTTCGATCCTCTCTCCCCCTCCCTCGCTCCCTGCCTGCCCTGCGCCCTCCTTCCGAGGCCGAGGTCTCCGGCGAGAGTTTGTGGCCTGTGTTGTCGGTCATGGCGTGTTGATCCCTTGGGGGCCCGTGGCGGCCGAGGAGGCCTCCAAGACGGCCCCAAGAGGGCCTCAGGACGGCCCCAGGAGGCCTCTGGGACGCCCAACGTGGCCTCCAGGACTTTTAAGAGGGCCCCAAGACGGCCCCAGGAGGCCTCCGGGACGCCCAACATGGCCTCCAGGACGCCTAAGCGGGCCCCAGGAGGGCCCCAAGACGGCCCCAGGAGGCCTCCGGCACGCCCGACATGGCCTCCAAAACGTCCCTGAGGGGCCCCAAGGGCCCTCAGTCGGTTCAGAGAGGCTTCCAAGACTGCTTCCGACGGCGTCAGACTGGCCAGGAACGCTCTAAGCCGGCCACAGAGGCCCCCGAAAAGCCCAGGGCCAAAACTGCATTGGGGCGAACAATTGTGCAATGGTTCGACTACATTTTTATCGCAGACTCGGTTTTAGTCGAATCTACGAGAAATTGCGAATACTGCTCCGTAGATATCGAACAACTTGCGTATTTTCGTAGATTCGACGAGAAATCAATCTTGGGGTAAATCAATTGTGTAATTAGTCCATCTCCTGCTAGAAACATCTTCCCCCCCTCTTCCCCCGTCCCCCTGAAAGTGCGTCGGTGCTTCTGAGGCCCATGCACGAGGTTCGAGCATCGAGGCTGTTCGACCAGGCCCAGGACTCTGGCGAGTTTGTGGTTGGTGTTATCAGTGATGGCGTGTTGATGCCTTGTGGCAACAAGGGTGGGAAATTGACCCCAACATTGGTTGCCAGTCGAATAAGCGAACACCAACGAAGATTGTTCTGTAGATCTCGAGCAGGGTACATCAATTCGTTGGTCGATCACCTACTCGCATCTTCCCCCCATCTTCCCCGCCCAGTCCCCCGGGAGTGTGTCGGTGTTTCTGAGGCCCACGCACCGGTTTTCGAAGATCGGGGTGTGTTCGATCATTCAATGCTGCCCAGACGGGGTCGGAGGAGATTGCGTCGGATGATCGCGCCGCGTCGCCGATGAGTTTTCGATGCGGCGTGATCTTGACCCTTATCTTTTCTGTCACTACATCGGCGATGCATCGGTGATGCATCGCCGATGCGGCGCCGATGCGGCGCGATCCTTCGAGCCCATCTCGGTAGCATCCACGTATCCATATTCACGGTTCGAGGTTTGACACAGTTTTTCGCAGTTTTGTGTTCATGGCATTTTTTCACCGCCACGGCTGGATTCCTTGATTTCATTTTGCCAGAACGCACCCTTGTAGAAGTACAGACAGAGGTAACTACATCTGGGGGAGGAGGACGCAGGCCCCGACGTGTGTTCCTTTCAGGTCGGCATCCAGAGGCTCGCCTCGGGGCCCATGCAGGGATCGGGACTTCCCGGGGCCCTGACTGGAGAACCATTGATCCTGGCCCCCACCCCTCCACCCTTTCTGTTCCACCGTCTGCAGGAGCCCTGGTCGGTAGGCGCGCTCGGATTACGTGCCACAACGGAGTCCCACTGGAGAGTCCTCGAACGGCTGTGTACAGGTTTGCTGGGCCCTCCCTCCATCCCTCCAGCCCAATTGCATCCATCAGGTTCTGCATTCGAAGCTTGGACTGCAGCGGTGCACTGGACAACGCCCCCCCCCCCCGGTATCCTCTTCCTTCCGTGTTTTCCCAACGTCCCTCTGCCTCTCCATCCCTCCATCCACTCCTCCTCCTTCCTCCTCCTCCTATTCCTCCATGACCATCTGGTCTCAAGCCTGCCCGTCATTGCCAGATTGGAGCAGTGGTATCATGCCAGCCACCCTGCTGGCGGAGGCCATCCTCGCTGCGGTGGCGCTCGTGCTCGCACGTTGTGCTGGCTTCTGCGGTTGCGCTAGCGTTAAGTCGGGCTTGTCCTTCTACAGGAGGGATATTCAAACATAGACACAGAATAGTCTGGGGACGATTGTTTGACTAGTTTTGACCATCTGGGAAATATGTTATGAACATGTCTTCGATTTCTCGCCCAAAATCCCCCTGTAGGGGGACACGCCCGACTTAACGCTAGCGCTGTGGCGGGCGTGCTATGGAAGCAGCTGGTGCGCATACAGTCAGGAGGATGCGAATGGCCTCAAGGCCGAGACGGAGCACTGCACAATCAGCTTGCCATCCCGACTCATGTGTCGTCGGCGCACGAGTTTTGGTGGACGACGTCGTGCAGTTGCTTGTGTTTGCGGTGGGAACTCGCAGGCTGCCGAGCAGACCTCGCGACCCCGCTGGCGGTCGGAGGGCCAGCATCGGGCCAGACTGCGGCTGTAGATACAGCTGTCGGGTCTTGGCAGTAAGGTCGCCAAGGACATTGAGCACCGAGACTTCTGGTCGCAGGACCGCAGTGGCGACATCGAGGTTCACATTCTAGCTGGCCAGGCACCAATCAGCCATCTCAGGCGCGTCCAAGCATTGCATGGCACGCTGTCCGCGTTCAGCTTCGGCATGCTCGGCCAGCTGGAGCCTGGTGTCGACACCATGGCGAAGGGCCAGCTCCACAGTTTTCGCTCGCAGGAGGGACTAGCAGACCGCGGGGACAGCCGCGCAAAAGGTCGTCTCGAGATCTTCCGCGACCGAGCTGGCCGAGCTGGCCGAGCGGGGGTTGCTGACCCGAGCTCGCCGAGCAGGAGGTCGCGCTGAATGGCGCCGTGCAGACCTCGGAGGAATTCGTGGCCCGGGGGAGCGAAGGCGTCCACGAGCAGGCTGCCAAGCACTCCTTCTTTTCGTGGATGGGGGTCCCGCCGAGCTGCCCAAGCCTATCTCGAGGGGACGGGTACCAGGCAGACTCGACTCACCAGCCTGAAAACTATCCCCGTCCCTATGGTCGTTATTATTTTACCTCGACGCCGATCTTAAGAATTCCCTCCGCTGCTGAGAGCGCACCCCTGAGGTTGTCATCGCCTCTGGGCCTGACAGTCGCAGGCAGACTGATCAGCTCGAGGCCGGTGAAATGGCGGGAGGTCGAGGCGTGATCTGCAGAGGCGACTGGGATGATGGATGGCGCGGCTGAGCTCCAAGGTCTCAGGCTGGAGACGCTTTGTTCAGTCCCGGCGCTTCTCGTCGGATTCGGCCACAGGGGCCCCGTTGTCGGGCGACGGGGCCATCAAGCACTGGAGCCAGCACGAGAAGCTTCCCCCACGGAAGTTGGGTCGGGACCCTCGAGGCCGCGGATTGAAGATCCATCTCGGAGGATGTCTGGGTTTGCAGATTAGCTGCGCCCAAGACGGAGGCGGTCTTGGCGACGGCTGCCGAAGTGGCGGCGAGTGAAGTCGGCGCGAAGGGTGACGAGCAGGCGTCCTCGAATGTCTGGTCTGCAAGTTCGGACCTCAATGCTCGGCAAGGTGGTCGAGCAGAAGGCTGCCGACCATACCTCGAAGAACACGGAGGCGATAGCCACGGCGTTGACCGAGACGGATGGTCGGGTCTCGAGCTTACCGAGCATGCGATCGGTGAGAAGGCAGTTGGGCAGACCTTGCATGGAACCCGGTAGAATACAGTCACGTAGACTGGGGGGAACGTGGAGGTGTGTGTGTGTGTTGCCGAGCTGGCCCAGGAGGCCCACCTTCGGTGCCGTGTCCAGGTCGTCTTTGCCGCACCTCAGGAACCGTTGCATTCCAGGTCGTCGGTGTGTGTGTGTGTGTCAGCCTTCTCATGCTCTTCCTCAGGAAGAGCATGACAAGGCTGACAAGCAGACCGAGAAGGAGATTGAGGCGAAGGCTGCCATGGAGGCTTTGCCCATGACAACCAGCGCAACCAGCGAACGGTAATCACCGGGTCTTCTTCCGAGTGAGCACATTACGCACCACGTCACCCCACGCAGAAACACAACACGAGAGTAGCGCAGATGGTATGTGTGGCACTGTGGCACCTAACCGCATCAAGCCTTTAAGACCCCCCCCACCCCCCCCTCATCCGGTGAAAGTATAACGCATCCGGCACCCTGGCACCAGAGGAGCCCGCACGCAGAGAGCGCGCGGGGCCTAGCTAAGCCTTGCTGAGCCCTGCTAGCTCCCGCTAAGCCCTGCTAAGCAATGATAAGCCAGTCTCGGATCCTTGGGATTCCCGAGGCAATCCTTTGCTGGTCCGTGAAATGTTCTAGGAAATGCACAGCATATCCAAAGGCATCCCCAAGGATAGGATTTCTTCTTGCGAGTCGCGCGGCGCGCGATGCGCCACGGAATTTTGTTGTTTGATTTGTGCGAGGTGCTAAAGATGTCGCTCTGCGAAAGCGACCCCCTGAAAAAATTAAATCTTGGTGCGTTGCTAACGATAGCCCCGGGGGGGTTCTTAAAGGCTTGCCGGGGTTATGCAATGGACGAACCCGACATTGATTGGCATTGTGCCTCAGGGGATTCGGAGCAAAACGAAGTTTCCGGGATAGCTCTCTAAGGGCTAAGGGGGTTCCAGATTAGAAGCTGGCAGGCAGGGCTACGCCAGCTCCTCTCCAAGGCTCCCGGGCAGGCATCCCCGGAGCGAGTCGCTTGACGTTGAAGCTTTTCCCGAGAAGCGTTTCCCTACTCGTTCCGATTACGTGTGTCCGAAGCCTTTCCGCAGCTCCTTCGCAGCTCCCTCGAAGCTCCTTCGAAGCTTGCTTTCCGAAGCTTGCAAGCTCCCCAGGCATGCTGTCCAGCGCCCTGGGAAGCATCTCCCAGAAGCTT